GATTGCAGGGGGATCTTATAGCAGCCTTCCAGTACCTGAAGGGGCTTACAGAAAAGCTGGCGAGGGACATTTATAAGGGCATGGAGCAACAGAACAAGGGGAAATGACTTTAAATTGAAAGAGGTAGAATTGGGCTAGATATGAGGAAAAAATTCTTTACTGTGAGGGTGGAGAGACACTAGGAGGACAGGTTGCCCAGAGATGTTGTGGATGCCCCCTTCCTGGAAGCATTCAAGACCAGGCTGGAAGGGGCTTTGAGCAACCTGGTCAAGAGGGAGGTGTCCCTGCTTATAGCAGGGGGTTGGAACAAAATGATCTTTAAGGTCCCTTCCAACCCAAACCATTCTATGATTCTATGTTTGCCTTGCAAATAATTCAAAAGAATTCATTGAATTCTAATTCTGAATTTAATTTCTGATACTGTTTTCTTTTTAGTTGGAATTTCTTTCACTGTTTAGTTGGACATTTTTTTCATAAGTTGGGCTCAAATCATACAGGTCTCAAAATATGATTTAGTATGTGACCACAAGTTACTGTCTGCAATTATCTGAGAGCAGCTTCAATAATTCAGATTTCTAGATTTTTTGTAGTCCAATATATATGTTTTCTTCAGGGTCCTGGGCACCTCTGCTTTAGCTTGCCATCACAGGGACTTTGGGTAGTTAGCATCTCAGAAAAAGAAGATAAAATTGTGCTTCCCCAGTGAGGATGTTTCAAGCATTGGAAATCACTTTTGGAAATATTGCTGTGAATGTGCTGAAAGCATGAAAAGCTCAAGTCTGGCTCCTTTATAGCTGGAATCTTCTCCAGCAGCCCCAGACATTAGAGGTGCTGTGGGTACGGAAATCCATTACAGATCCTAATGCTGCCTGGCATATTGAGGAGCATTTGTCATCGTTTTGGCAAAGGTACAGCTTGCTTTCTGTCTCTCCTAGCTATGTCCTGGTATACCAGTTGAGGGACATGTGCATAATGCTTCTCTTTGAGATGCTAATCTTCTGGAGTGTTAAGCACCAATAATAGCGTTAGCAGCTGGTTTTACTCACACTGAAAGGTCTGAAGCAGCACAGCAGCTTTTTGCATAGGATAGGAAGGATTTCGTTCAGGCTTTCACCTCAATTTGACATATCCATGCAGTGGGCTTCCCAGAATAGTAGTAGGATACGACACTGAAACACCACTGAAGCATTGCTTTGGTGGATGGTATCTTAGTGATTGAGTAAGAGCAAATATTAAATTTGAAAACTATGTTGCTTCTACAACGTGCTCCTTATAGTATCTTTACATTTCCAGATCTTTATTATCAACACTTTACTGGACACAGGTGATGAGCACGCTCAGAGAGTATGGTTAGGTTAGCTGCTATTGAACCACAGAATATCTGTAATTCATCCATGCTTCTCCCACCAGCAGGTGTCATTCTGGAAAAAGGAAAATATTGTGAATCCCAGAACTGGAGAATTTGGCTGTGACAGGAAAAAAAAAAAAAAAAAAAGAAAGAAAAAGTTTGCTTTAAAATACAGTTTTGAAGGATACATTGCTCCAAATAAAAACCAAGGCAAAGTTGGCTGGTCTACGTTGAAGCAGACTGTGAGAATATTTTCTCAGAATCTTTGCACTGTGTAACCCTGCCATATAATGAACAGAGGGCAGAGGATGGTTGAAGCAAACCAATGCCTGGTTAATGCTGTCTCCTGCCTTTTGCAGTTGTGTGTGTCACCTTCACCACTGTGAACTCTCCTCCCATGATGACTGTCAAATAGTGATAATCATCAGTTTCTATGATGGGCTTTGGGCTTTAGTTTCCCCAAAGGGCATACACAGTAAGGTGATGAATGCAAATCTCATTTACTTTGATATAAGCTTGAAGTAAACTCATTGAAGCAACTGAAATCAGCAGAATTGCTTCAGATTGAGTCTGAAGTAAAGAACAGTAGAGTTTCGCTTTCTACTTTATAAACGAAACTCAAGAATCACACAATCATTTTAATGTCTATTTTAATAGTTATGTCACCACTTAAGTGTTCACCTGCTATTAGATGCAGGTTCCTTTAATATAAAGAGCATAATTTTGATTTCTGATTACCACATCGAGAAAGCTGTGCCAGAATTACGAAGAATCAAGACACCACTGGCTTATTGCTTGAGGACTCCAGGTCTGCTGAGCCTGGTCTTCTGGCTGTTAAAGCCAAACTTGCTGTAAAATCCATGCAGGAGCTGTACTGCCCACCTTGTATTCCACTGGAGGTTTGTTCCAACACATTACAGCTCTGATGATTATAAATAGCATTCTGTCTTTCAGCCTAATTTTCATAGAACCACAGAATGGCTTGGGTTGGAAGGGACCTTAAAGCCACCCAATCCCAACCCCCTGCTGTGGGCAGCGCCAGCCAGCAGCTCAGGCTACCCAGAGCCCCCATCCAACCTGGCCTTGAGTGCCTCCAGGGTTTGGACATCCACAGCTGTGCCAGTGCCCCACCACCCTCATAGTGAAGAATTTCTTCCCAATGTCTAATCTAAATCTCCCCTCTTTTATTTTAAAGGCATTATCCATTGTCTATCACTACACTCTCCCTCCCCAGCTTTCCTGCAGGCTCCCTTTAGGTACTGGAAGGAGTTTATCCAGGGGAAAGATGAGAACAATCTCCAAGGTTTGGCTCTGAGGAATACATTACAATGTGAATTAGTTTTATGTTTTCAAAATTTGGACTTAGGATAAAGTGATGGGAAATAATTGTGCCGTGGGCGTCCGTATCTTTTTCAGTAAGTTATTTAAATACAAATGTCACAATGCTTTTCTTTTGGACGGTACAAAACACTTTGTTGCTGAATGAGAAAAAATAGCAAACTTCACTCTAGAACAGTTCAAAGCAATTATCGTTTTCAGTATTTAACTTTAAAAATGTATCAGTCGTCTAAAATATGAAGTAAAAGGAGTATCAAAGTGCAGTGAATTTAGCTGTTCCATTATGCACTTTGTTTTTATGGGACCTGGATGATTTGCAGCGATTATCTACAACTGGCTTTTATACAGGTAGGTAGGTATGGGATTTAGTCTGCATATCAAAGTGAAATTATATTTTTGGTGTATTACTTTCCAAGCTTTTAGTTAAGTGATCATATTAATTTTTGTTTAGTTATTTTTTTCCCCTTTATTTTATACTTTATTGTGTTAATTTTGGAAGAAATGCACGTGCCTAACCATAGCCCTCCTGTGTCGCTTTGCAGCCTCTGGGGAATCCCAGCTGGCCTCTTGCTGATAGTTCAATGGTGCAGATCTCCTGCAGGTCCCACACTGTCACTGTCAACCCACTACAGGTGCTGCAGATACTCTGGGTTGCTCCAGAGGGCATTGGGTACCTTCCTGTGGGCATCTGAATACTTCTACAGTATTCTGTATTCAGTATTCAGTATTCTACTGAATACTACATCTTTGATACTGCTGTAGAAGAACACCGTAAAACAAACCAATAAGCCTTTACAAAGGCTTAACAAAATTAAAAGTGGCGCAGCTGTGAAAGTAATTCCACCTAAGGTGTTTTATCCATGTTTAACAAGGAGTAGGGGCAGGAAAGTAATTCCGTATCTAGCAAGTAGAGGGTTATTGTGTTTAACAGGATGCCATCAAGGGTCTGTTTTGAATTAAGGTGTCTGAGCTGAACCCGTGTGCGGGTGGGGAGCTGCTGATGCTGCGGGAGAGCACAAGAAGACAGCTGTGAGGTTCAGGGCTTGGGGCACTGAACAGTCCATCTTTCCCTTGCAGATAACGCACACAGGCTCAGACTGAGAAAATGGGGCTTCCCAGCAAGAACACGGTGGTCTGAGGTTCGACAGTGTTGGGAGTCTGGAAAAAGTAAGCATAATTCCTCAGACTGGGGCACGATGCAGCAAACTAATTTTGATGAAGAAAGTGGTAACTTCAGGTACCAGGCACTCAGCTACAGAGAGTTAGAGAAATACATGCAGTAATTACAAAACTATGTTAATCAGGTTCATTTTTGATGGTCTGCTGAATAGGAGGGAAGTTAAAAACCTTGAATATATTAGTTGATGTGGTTATATAGGCATTGTACAATGCTGGACTGAATGTTACTGAATGTTCTTCTAGAATATAACATATAAAAACAATGTAGTGCATAAATCTATAACTCATAATGAAGCTCAAATTGTGAGAGGGTAGAAAACTGTGGTTGAAATTCACTACAGGCAATCAATGAGGATTGTATAGGCAGATAAAACTTTCCCATGAACTGTTTTTTATCGGTCAGTAGCATTGTGATCGACAGGAATTTGGATTATTATTGCAGAAGTTTAAAAGTCAAATTGTTACAGAAAATAGCATGGGGTGACCCGCAAAGCAATCAGGAAATTGGGTTTAATCGTGTAAATATTAATTCTATAATTTGCAAATGAAGCAGAAAAATCGTTCTTGTTCACTCCTTCTTTTTTTTTTTTTTTTTTCTTATTGAGTCTGTATGAATCTTTTCCAGGATGAACCCCCAGGCACAGCAGCAGTGGTTGTGTGAGAGGAGAAACAAACATTCTCCTCGTGTCACTCATGCCAGCAGTCTGAGCAGGAGGAAGGTACAGGAACACTCCTACAGAGAACCAGGACTGGTTTGTCTCTTTAGAAGGGAGCAATGGTATTTTGAACATTTTTACCAAATCCCAGAGTGTGCAACAGCATTTTATGGACTGGGAATTATATAACTGAAAGACTGTGAGATGGGAAAGAATTATAGGAAGCCATGGAGAGCTGCAACCTAAGCATCCTGAAATCTGTGACCAAGCCCCAAGGATGCTTCTTGTTACTGCAGCCATCTCCAATGATTGCTGTTTTTTATATGATTTACCAGCCCCAATGAGCTCCCCAAGACAGAATAGGGAAAGATGGGCCTCAAGTTGCACCAGGGAAGATTTAGGTTGGATATCAGGAAACACTTCTTTGCAGAAAGGGTTGTTAAGCACTGGAATAGGCTCCCCAGGGAGGTGGTTGAGTCTCCATCCCTGGATGTGTTTAAAAACCATTTGGATGTGGTGCTCAGGGACATGATTTAGTGGTGGGCTGTTAGAGTTAGGGTAGTATGGTCAGGTTGTGGTTGGACTTGATGATCTTGAAGGCCTTTTTCAACTTGAGCAATTTTATAATTCTATGATTCAGTGATTTAGGTCCAGAGGAAGATTCCCAACTGGTTCTGGGTAGTGAACTGTTTGGCTTGTGGAATGAGTTACAGAATTCCTATTTGAAAAACAAAGAAGATGGTGTAAATCTGCACCTGGGAGGTAGCGTATGCTCTGAAAAAGCCAATTCAAAAAATAATGGACTGGTATCGAAACTCTGTGATCAGCCATTAAAGGTTTTATAAATCTTTATGCTGAGACATGAAACGTAATTAAAATAATGACTGTAAGCACAGACTGACGCAACCATTATCTACATCACATGTGTAAATACTGACGAAATTAAAAAATTTACCCTCCTCCCCCCAAATTTTTAAGACCTAATTTGTCTGTTTGTTTTTTTTTTTTTTTTTAATACTTTTAGTTGTGTTACATTTTGCTGAGGAACGACTTAGCTTCCCTGCTGTCTGAATAGAGTCCCTGAGTCCTGGTCCCAAATGTCAGTATTTGCACTGCGCTGGCAGCTGTGCGTTTGTGGTCACCCCACGGCAATGTTTGTGAGGAATGTATACAGTGGCAGTGCCTCTTTCAGTGAACACCAGCAGGAAAATAGCATGTGGCCAACTCACACGTAATTTGTTCTCCTTAGCGGAGGTCTCACATATGCAGTACTTAAATGGCACTTTTTGTTTCTGGGTAAGATGAAGGTAACTGATAGAAACCATTCAAAAGCCTCTCTGGCTGTTGCTTATGTTCCCTGCAAAGGACTGAAGAGAACAGCTCTTTGGAGACGTGGCTTTACACTGAACATACGCAGGGCTGTGTCATTATTAATTCTGCAAATGTGTTTACAATGGTTAGGTAAAATATTTAGTTACTATTTAAATATTTTGATGTATTATAGCTCATACCCAAATTTTAGATGTCTACTGCACTTAACATTTCCAATTTAAATAACCGGTTTCATTAAGGTTTTTAGTGATACAAATGAATAACAAAAGGCAGTTAATGCAGAGTACGGTTATGAGACCAAAATGCATGTGGTTTAAATTTAAAGAATTAAATGTTAGCATTTCCCTATAGGGAAAGGTTATTTGGGCAGTGGTGTACTGACATTATCACCACCCACGGAGAAGGGGGCCTGTTGATCCTATTGGTTAAGTACAAATTCAGAAACGGAAGAAATGTTGGTCTAGAGGGTTTGCTTGGTGTGAGTGAATCACACAGGAAAAATGCTGATACCTAGGGTAGCTCAGTGACCTTCTTTGATGGTTAGAAAGAGAAACAAGCACACAAGGTTTCTGTCAAAGTCAGAAGGTTTAGGTTGCTTGCTGGGCAAAATCGGCCCAGGTTATTAATATAGTGGAAAGTTAAATGATGAGCATGGAAGTATGATAATAAGTGCTGTTGTAAGTGAGACAGAAATGATTTTCTGTGGCCAGTAAGAACGATAATCCAACGTGTTAACCATTGGGCTCGAGGGCTGCTAAGAAAATAAATGTGCAAAGTGGATAAAATAAAGGCTGAAAGTATGTTTAAGTAGGTGTTTCTTCAAAGCTTTCTTCAGGAGGGTGTTTCTGGACACTCTGCCCTACTGCTTTTGGCAAGACATGTCTGTTATAATAAAGGTAAGCATGCGGCTTTCATTCTAGCAGAAAATAGTGCTAACTGTAGCTTGGGATTTATGTGCTTTTGTAATAATTTTCGTGGACTTAGCTAGAAACAAATCTATTGAAGGTAACAATTACTAACTTGGCACTATTTGACGTTAGTTAAATCTGACAACGCTGGGATGGCTTCACCTATTTTTCCTGGAAGAAACTGCAAAATCGGGTGGTTTTAGGGAGTTTTGTGTGGATGTGGGACTGCACAGAGAAGGCAGCTCTCAGCATCAGTGCACGTAAGGAAAACTTGGCTCTGAGCCTCAGTCTGACAGCTTGGAAACGGACTGGGCTGAAATGCAGGCTCCAGTGCTCTGCACTTTGGCTTTTGAAAATTTCTGTGTGAGACCTAATTTCAATCTGAAAAATCAAAATACAGTGCTTTGCGATCAGTTTTGCTTTGTTTGAACCTAAAACTCAAAGCAAAACTCTTGGTGTATAGAACCGTACAAAGCAAAACGTAAGAAAGTGAACCCAAGAGCTCTACAGACTGAACAAGCTAGTTTCACTTAGCTCTCAAAATAATCCCCATTTTGCAAGTTCACTTTTCAATTGCACATGTAGTAGATGTCAAAATTGAGCTGGTTTCACTATGGGTAGTGCAGCTCCAGAGCATCACTGACTTTGCATCACTGTCAGCAAAGTCTCAATGCTTGCTCTCAGTCTCAGATGGAACTTTGGACATCTGTCAAGAGATGAAAGTTTTTCTGTCTCAGCCTGGTTACATTTAACTTTTGTTCATCTCTAAGACAATGATCCATATATTTTCATATCCAGCTCTGAACTCATTTCCTAAATCTCTGATAATGCTCTAAGTGGCACCCAGTCCTGAAATGGCAGGAGGCACTCACTGCATCCCTGAAAGGTCATCCTTGAAATCATGTATGTTCAATTCAAGGCCTGATGTTGCAGAGATACTGAACATCTGCTGCTCCTCCACACTAGCCCACAAACTGCAGGTGCTCATGCCACTGCAAACATCAGACACCTACTCCCCAGGCACTCTTATTCAAAATGAAGCGATGAGCAGCCTTCTGCTTTGCTTTAGCTTTTTGTAAAATCATAGTGCAGTTGGCTGGAAACAAACATATGAGCTGTGCCCGTACAGTGGCACTTCTAGCCGAGCATTGCTGAGTGTTTGGGAATTCAGACTAGTCAGAGTTCCTCCCTTCATGGAATCAAAGAATCGCAGAATCATTAAGGTTGGAAAATACCTCTAGGACCATTTAGTCCACCACCAACTCATCCCCTCATACCCGCTAACCATGTCCCTCAGTGCCACATCTACATGATTCTTTAACACCTCCTAGGACGGTGCCTTCCTGGGCAGCCTGTTCCAATGCTTTACCACTCTTTCTGGGAAGAAGTTTTTCCTAATATCCATCCTGAACCTCCCCTGGTGCAATTTCAGGCCCATTCCCTCTCATCCTATCGCTGTTGCCTGGGAGAAGAGGCTGACCTCCACCTTGCCATGACCTCCTTTCAGGGAGTTGTAGAGAGCAATAAGGTCTCCCCTGAGCCTCCTCTTCTCCAGTCTAAACAATCCCAGTTTCCTCAGCCACTCCCCATAAGACCTGTATGCACTGAGCAGCTGATCCATTTCCTTCCCTGATTTCCAAAAAAATATTGAGAGACTGACCTGAGCTCCCAAAATGACCACTGATGGAAAAGTGAGGCCCTGGCAGCAGCGGGGCTGAGTGAGTCATCATCTGAATGTAGAGCTCAGCTTCTGGCAGCTTTGTTGAGAAGTGGGGACTAGAGAGATGTTCGAAAGAAATATAGTATCTGATCATCAGTGATCTTATGTGCATATATTTTGTTTATTCAGGAAGCAGATGTCAAATTCTCATGACAAACCAGGACCTGGAAAAGTGCTGAGTGCCAGGGGAATGGCTGAACTTAAAAATATAAGGATATCTGGAAATACACAAGCTGGGTTACATAAGGATTGTATTGCAATTGGAATTTACAATACAATGGCTCACCTCTGCACAGGAGTGAGTCTTATCACGTGCAAGCATATGTTACAGGGAAATCCACTGGGCTGCTGATTGAAAGCAAATATTATGTGACCCTGAATATCACTTTGTATTTTAAACCATAAGAGTTTCAGATTTGAGTCACAATAAATAGGATATATATGTATGTATGTATATAGAAGCTTTTAAGCTCGGAGCAAGGCTTCTGCCTTGGCAATACTTTCACCTCAAATTGCACATTTGGTCCTCTATTCTCGTAAATCATCGTAGCCTCAATCCAAAGTCAGAAATCAGATGAGAGGCTTCCAAACTTTGGCAAGAAATCTGTTGCAGAAACCTTTACAATCTTTTCTACTCTGGCCACTTTGAGCTCCAGAACCCCTGTTTCATCCACCCACGTTACACCTTGCTTCTTCACAGGGCTTCCTACATAGAGGTGACATCAGGAGTTGTCTGATGCCTTATTTGCCCCTTTGGAGCTTTCAGTAGGAGCAGACACGTTCTTAGCACTGCATGGAGAACACCCTCAGCCCAGGGTCTTCATTGGAACATTCCTCTGTCAGAGCAAGAGCTGGAGAGGATGGCACACGAGAGGCACACATGGGGAAAAATCTGTTTTCTTTTTTTAATTCAGCACTTCGACCTGAAACATCGAGGCGAGCTGTGCAAAGAGCTGCTTGCAGAGTAGAATGCTGCAAGGTAGGAGGAGAAGCTCTGCTTAAGAGAAAATCTGCCTCGGTCTACGAAACGATCCCACCACAAAATAAAATTAAAAGTAATGAGATTTTCCACTGTTAACTTAATAGCAGCAAACCACATGTTCTAAACAATGTTTTAATTTTTTTTTTTTGGTGTGAGGACTCATTTTTAGTAACAAACCCCAGACTATTAGCCCTGCCATTTTTCCAATGCTGGAGGAAAACGTGGACTCTTGCTGAGTTTGTAGGGTGAATATCTCAGAGATATTTGAATCTGCCACCAGTAAAAGGCCTCTAAATGTGCTCACATGGAGGAACCAGCTCAAGGTAGAGGAAATGGAAAAAATGGGAAAAAGAAGAAACCTCTCTTTGGATCTTTAGCTGTGTTATTTTTTTAGATTATATTTCTTCTGAGCTCCCAAAATCTTCAGTAACAAACAAGTTTTCTTTTAAAAAGTATTAAGTTATCAAAACATTTGCCAGGTCCTAATATTAAATCGTAGCAGTCAG